TTTGTTTCTACTTTCTAATGTGAAAGGTCCACAAGAATTGAGAAACAAACTCAACATACTGACAAAAGAAAATAAATATAGAATTAGTAACTTGGTATTTCTCTACAATTACCCCTATTTTAATTTGTGTGAAAATAATTCGTGTTTTCAAACAAGCAGTGCGAATAATTTACTCCTCTCTCACCTACCAGTGTTCCATATCACTATTAACATGGATATACTACAAGATATGGCAGCTAACAGTGATGCACTCATAAGCTGTTGTCAATTGAATGATAATACATTGCATTTGAATAATAAAGATGTTCTTTCTGCTCTGGGAAAGCAATGAGTGATCGTTAACGTGGTTCGTGGGGCTATAATCGATGAGGAAGAAATGGTGAGATGCTTGAGAGAAGGTGAGATTGGTTTGGTGGTGCTGGTTTGGATTTTTTGAAGATGAGCCTAGTGTTCCTAAGGACCTTTTTGAATTGGATAATGTTGTTTTCTCTCCACAATAGCTTTTATGACATCGTCAAGGTGGAAGTCTTGAAGAACTTGGGTAAGTTTTTAGTAGGGAATATATTTTTTTTCTTCCAAGAAATACCATTTTATATATAAGATCAACTTAAAAGTTACACATGTGCCTTTTAAAAGATCAACTTAAAACTTAAGTTTTTTAGTAGGGAATCTATGTCTTCCTTTGCACTTGTAATATATTGCAAGAATGTAGGAATCACATATTTTTGTGCCAGCCTAGTTTTTCATTCCCATATAAAACACACTGCTCTATATACTGCACTTTATTCGCTATCAAATCATGGCCGGTGTGCTTCGAGATTCTCATGTCTCTACAAACGATAAGTTTGCGGATGCCTTCACCAAACTGCTACCCCGTGCGCGTCATCAAACACCATGTTCCAAAATTGGAGTCACACGAATACCTCCATCTTGAAGAAGCATATAACAGATATTAGTAAATATGTGTGGAAAGTCTATGTCATTAGCTTTTCTCTAGTCTCTCTTTATAAACCTATATATTTGTACATCTTACTTCTAATTAGAAGTTCACATATTTGCTTAGTTTTCAATTGTAGATGGCAATTCTAGCATCTTTCTGGTATTTCTCGAACTCCATTTCTGTTCGTCAACCAACACAAGCTCATTAGTAATAGCCCATTATCTTCTAGTGGGCTTGAAAAGAGGACTCGCACATCTTTCATCAAACTCCGATTCATTCAAACATCATATTTTGTGGATCCTAAATTCTTCTTTATCACTTCTTCATATACATTTGGGTCAATCTTGCCTACTACGAATTTAGGAAAGTTACTTCAAACTTTTGTGGTAACTCTGCAAACTAAACAAAGACAAAACAAAATGATATATATTTGAGAATGTTTTTTTTTTCATATATATGAATTTTGTGTAGTTCGATGTTGTTTTCTCTAACTAAACTATCTACACCGTGCGGCATGGTAAACGAGAAACTAATCTTTGATACCAAATAATTTAGCCGACACAAAATATCTTTACTTTTAAAGTTAATTAGGATGGCATGAAAGTTTTATGAGGTCCTTGAGAAAAGTTTTCAGATATGAAATATGAATCATATATAATTTTGGACGTATATTAATATGTATGTTAAAAGGGAATATAATTGTAACAAAAGCCTTGATGATTGATGAGTAAAAAGGCAATGAACAATAACAGCTAACTTTGCCCATGGAATTACCGACCAAAAGTTCAGACAATGGGATGTCACACTTCCATTTTGCTCCCTCTCTCTCTTAGGAATCATAGAAGAAAAGAAACAACTAATCAAACACCAAAGAACGAATAAGATTAGTTTCACTATATATGTATGTAACTTTGAATTTACATATCTTCTTTGCTAAGTATTTTACATCAATCTCTTTAGGTTAGGTGTTTGGTAGACACATGAAATTCCGGATGAAAATGTTACCATTATGATGTAGTCATAGTCGTGACTCGTGAGTGAATTGGTTGGCCGAACATAGCAAAACATTAGTAGTATTTTAAATTTTTGAGAGAGTACGTACGTGTTTGTTATGATATGGAAAGTGTGGGTGCAAAAAGATTAGTACTCTATATGGTAATTCTAAATTTTCGAGTATTTTACAGATTGGTTAATTGGTGGAAAATTAAGTTGTGCTTTAGTGTTACTTTAATATGAATATATGTGAAAATGTTAGTAAAGGTCTTTGCGGTTTAGTGTTATTGCATTGCGGTTTCAATCATTATTGGTTGTTGTGAATGTTTTATTTACATTGCAAGATTATCCAACCATTCCAAAAATGTGGGACATTAATTTGAAACTTCAATATGAGATTCTTTATCATAGAAAAAAATACTTTTTAGGTTTGACAAATATGATATTGGGGTTTCCAAGCCCATTCCAACTCCCCATTAGTATGATATTGTCCGCTTTGGGCCTACATGCTCAAGCCCGCACGGATTTGTTATTGGGCTCCTTCCCAAAATGCCTCATACTAATTGGAGTTGGACTTTACTTATATAATAGAAACTTCTTTTCTAAACTTCCGATGTGGGACGTTGGTTTGTACCCAACATATGAAGTAGAGTGGAATTTGGTGTTTTGAATTTCTTCAATTTCTTAGGAGGGGTTATTGGTTCATGGATTTATAAAGAATTAGAAATCCAAACAAAAATCATTTGTTATTCAATCATTGAATTTAAAATCTTAATTAAAATCATGTGTTATTAGTTCTATGATTTATAAATACTAATTAAAATCCTATGTTATTCGTTTAGTCATTTGTTTTTGGATTTGAGAATCCAAATTATGTTTTAAATGGATTTGAATGGAATTAAAAGAGAAAAATAGAAGGATTCAAATCCATGGGTAAACACATGTTATTTCAAAATCCATATATCTTGATTTCATAATTAATAGAGATTTTCAAATTCTATATGGATTTACAAATTAATAAACCAATAACACCCCCTTAGTGTATCATATAGACCATAGTTTCTTCGGGTGAATTGTTAAGATATTTCTAAAATGAAATGATATCAATATATTTGTTAATTATATTACACGAAATTAAGGTGGCATATATAATTAAATAAAATGATTTTGTATATGACTAACATGGAGCACATATATGTAAGTAGAGAACAAAATAAAGGTGAAGGAAAAATGCCAAAAAGACATGAGTGGAGAAACCAGGCTAGCTTAGACACACCATAATAAACTAGTTTTCCTTTTTGTTAGATTTGGACCCAAATGCACTTTTCTGCTTGTTGTTGTAATTTCAATATAAAAGCTCATTTCTTTTTATTTGTTAAATGATTTATAAAAGCTCATTTCTTGCTTTTCTTCTTTTGTTTTTGTTAACTTACTATAGATTTATAAACATAATAAGAGATACAAGAGGGCCAAAAGAAAAAAGAAAAATATCTAGTGTCATAGCTCATGCTTTATTTTTGTTTTTTCTCTCTTCTTTTTGTTTTAGAATCAACATAATTGATGACCCTAGAGTAATTGAAATTGGAAAAGCCAAGAGGTATTTGTAGTTAAATTACAATCTTTAAATATATTTGAGAAAAAGATAAGTGAAATAATAACATGCACGAGCTGTAACGAGGAATCTCGTAATAGATAGAATGGAGAACTTTTTTTAGGATTTATTTGTCGAGTGCTCAATGTTAATCTTCCAATAGATAAAAATCAGATTTAATTAATATTAGAAAAAATTGGAGTCTAATGAAAGTGGTAGAGAGAATCTAATGGTGTAATCATTATGCAATTATACAACTCTTTGTGTCGTACGGATATTAATATACATATAATGTTTGCTTTCTTTTTATTATTTTATAAGTAAAATTTGTTTTCTTTAAATGATTTTTAGCAGTTGAAAAGGCAAAAGGCGGAAATGTTGTATTATTATTTGAGAATAATTTCATCCAATCTGTATATTTTTGGATTACTCGATTTGTTCTCTTTTTCTCTTTGTATTTTAATATTAAAAATATACTCCAACGTCACCACTCACCCGTAATTCGATACATGTGGTATCAAAAGTTTAATTTATTTTTTACATTCATACGTGTGTGTATACAATTCTACATACAAATTATCATTATTCACTCTAAATGAACTAGATCAATAAAGTTTAGTATACGCGTTTGCATCGTATGAACATATATCATTTACTTAAACTTATGACGGTTAGATGTTCAATGCAGTGATTATTTTTAATTTTTTTTTTTTCTTATTTAACATTAACATCAAAGCTGTGTATATTACATTCCAGAAAATAATTCTTTTTGGAGAGTCAATCAAAGACGAACAAATTACATAAATTAAAAATAAAACCTTGTATTTTATTTGCACATTTTGTAAGTCAATTAACACATATAGTAATACTATAATAGACATACCTAAGTTTTAAAAACCCAAAAAAATATTGGTAATATGTAAACTTTTAAGTTCAGCTGTAAATATAAGTTATTCCGTAATATTATAGATCATATCAAACAAATCTTATCAATCCAACGCAAAAGAACTCCAGTTATAAGGAGTGCCAACAGTTCTATCTGCTGATTATATATTTAGTTGATCGTATATTACAGTTTCAGGATATGTCCGACAAAGAATTTACCAACCTAATATTAAAATCTTACAAATAAAATAAAAATAATATAATATACAATTTTTTGTTGAATATATATATTAGTATTTACACTAACTTTAGATATCAATTGATAGTTGTGATTGTTAACATAAGTCATGAGAGCGGTTTAACATTTGCATTCCTTTTTTTTTTTTTATTAATTATGGAATATTTGTTTTTTTTAATACTAATTCCATCATAAACAAAATTGATAGTTTGATACTTACTAAATACGTTTGTATGGTTGATTTAGGCCTCAATATTTTGAAGTAAAATTCCTCCTAGAAAGTGAATATATACGAATTGAAACAAATCCTGCAAAAAGATGTCAAACAATTATTCAAGGTCAGAAACCCCAATTATTTTACATCTAAGTTTTATATGCTTTATTGCAATAATAAAAATACAAAATATTAAATAGTAGTTCCACCTATTCCGAAAGAATCTTTTTGGGTGAGTGACAAAAACCCAACACGAATCATACTTTACAAATCAGAGCTCATAAATTGCCTCTCATAACCCAAACATAAATATATTAAAAATGAAAAAAATAAAACCAAAATAGGATTTAAAACAATTAAATAGTAATGTACTAAAAAAAAGGTACTCGTACGTAAACCCTCCTATGTCTCCCTATTTAAACCCTAATACCCTATAAGACTTCAACACCAAATCCTTAAGCTTCTTCTTCTTCTTTTTTCCACTTTTTTTTTTTTGCTTCATCGGAAGTATTAACAATGTCAAAGAGCAAAGTCATAGCTTCAATGGAGTTTCAATCGACGGTGGTAACCACCGTAGACTGCCAGAAACAAGTCAGGTCATGGCGTCTCCTCCGCTCATTCATTCAGCTTCTAATCCCAACTTGCAACTGCACATTAGTCCAAGAACTCGAACAAGATAACACTAACTTGAGAGGAAAGAACCTCTACAACGACATCAAATCACGCACGTCTTCTTTTCGTTCCTCTTCATCCCTTTCTTCGTCGACTGTCACTGGAACAATCTTCGGATACCGCAAAGGAAAGATCAATTTCTGTATCCAAACACCAAGAAAATCAACAAACCTCGATCTTCTCCTCGAGCTAGCAGTTCCAACGACGGTTTTAGCTCGAGAAATGAGAGAAGGCGCGTTGCGTATAGTGTTAGAACGTAACAACGAAAAAGAAGACGACGACTCTATTTTGTCAAAGCCATTTTGGAACATGTATTGCAACGGAAAAAGAGTTGGGTATGCGAGAAAACGCAGTCCGTCTCAAGATGACATGACGGCGTTGACCGCTCTGAGTAAAGTGATGGTTGGAGCCGGCGTTGTGACTGGGAAAGAACTTGGCCGGTTCGATGATGAATTGATGTATTTGAGAGCTAGTTTCAGACGAGTGAATGGTTCGAAAGAATCTGAATCTTTCCATTTGATTGATCCAGCTGGGAATATCGGACAAGAACTCAGTATCTTCATCGTCCCATCATCGGTCTGAGTTAATTACCGCTGGAGTGATCGTACATAAGAGTTCTGTTTTCAAGTTTCTTCCCTTTTTTTTTTTCTTTGGTCTAGAGAAAAGAACTTGTTTTTGAGTCGTGCTTAAAGCTATTGGCTTTAGCTCTGGCTTTGTATGTAATCTACATCATACCAATTCGATAGTCCATTGATTCGAGTTTAAGTGTTTATCTTGTTGCTATCATTTCTGTACTACATAAATAATGGTCTCGTCTTTAAAAAAACTGCTTATCAAGAGACAAAAATGAGAATAACTCGGCAAAAATAGATACAAATGTTCATAATGCACCTTTTTTTTTTTGAACACCAATTCATAATGCACTTAACAGACTATAATAAGTAGTCGTTGACAAAAAAAAACAAAAAAAATTAACTCTTAAAATATCCCAAACAAGTTTTTCTTTTTTCGTGACTGGAATTCACTTAATTATATCGAACGCAAATGTTAGTAATGATCACTTGATTACTAACAAAAAAAAAAAAACGAATTCTCAGGTAAAATTTGCAGAGGAAAATACCATTTAAAGTTAATTCTATTGATATATTTATGGAGGTCAAAAAAACAAAATCAGACACATGGTTTAGGCGCCAAAACCACAACTAAACAACAAACTAAGTCACTCATAGAGGCCGACACGTGTCGGAATCAAATAACGGGTCATATTTTTCCCCAAGGAAAACCAACACTTACGGAGTAACGAGTGGAACCTTACCAGAAATTGATAAACCATAGCCTTTAAGACCAACGTAATGTGCTGGATTATTCGTCATCACTTTCATCTCTCTAACTCCAAGATCCCTTAGAATCTGCATCACCAATCTTTGATCACTCTTTGCTATTTATTAAAAGAAACAGTAAAGATTCAATGTTTTTATCATTACTTGTGCTCCAATGCCGTATTCCCGTGAAGCAACGGGAAATGAAACACCTTCGGCTTGATCTGAATTGGTGTTGTAAGTACGAGGCTTATGGCTTAGATCAATGCCTTTACTTTCAGGACCACGTAAGTAGACAAAAACACCTCTCCCAGTTTCTTCAATCAGTCTCATTGCAATCGCTAACTGTTTTCCACCGGAGCTATTTCCGAATATATCATCCGTGATACACTCCGCGTGTACTCTCACTAGAATATCCTTCCCATCTCCGATTTCTCCCTGTGTTTTTATCATAATGGGTTATAAGAAACGGAAGTCTTGCATGGTTTCAAATAGGGTTTATTCTTACCTTGACCATTGCAATGTGCTCAACTCCATCAAGTAATGACTTAAAGCAATGTGCTCTGAATGGTCCCCACATTGTCGGTATAGGCGCAACCGCAGTAAACTCTACCAGTCTCTCTCTTTTCCTTCGGTATCTACCAGAAAAAGTTTGCAGTTGAAATCCAGAGGAAAACATCAGTAATTGAGTGTTCTTAATCCAAACACCAGTAGCTGATCTTGAAGTAGTTGTATTGTACCTGATTAAATCTGCGATTGAAATTATTTTCAAGTTGTTCTCTTGAGCAAATTTGCGGAGTCTTGGTAATCTAGCCATGGAACCATCATCATCTACAATCTCACATAAAACCGATACTGGTTCTAAACCAGCCAAAACAGTCAAGTCAACAGAGGCTTCTGTATGCCCTGCTCTTTTAAGAACACCACCTTCTCTGTATCTCAAAGGAAATATATGACCAGGACGATTGAAATCTTCAGGTTTTGAATCTTTTGATGCAAGGGTTAATATTGTTTGCGCCCTATCACGAGCTGAGACACCTGTGGATGTTCCCTTTTTCGCGTCCTGACAAAGATTTCAACATTCTTTTCATCACAAAGGGTCTTGTGGTTTTCTCAACACTAAGGAAAAAACATATTTTTACTTTACCACTGAAACCGTAAAGGCCGTATGGAGTTTTTCCTCGTTATCCTTTCGGGTCACCATTAAAGGAAGCTCTAACCTCTCCAAGTCTTCGCCTTTCATGCTCACACACACGATTCCAGTCCCATGCTTTACAACAAAAGCCATAGCTTCAGGTGTTACCAACGATGCCGCCATGATCAAATCTCCTTCGTTTTCTCTATCTTCATCATCTACAACAACTACCATCTGCAAGAAAACGCAAAGCTTTCTCACTTAAAATCCTCTCATTAGACAGTAAATCCAACACTATCGCTACTAACACAAACCTTGCCCAGTCGTATATCGTCAATAGCTTGAGGAATAGACGCAAATCCATCAGTAGGTCGATCTAAATCAAACTCTTCATCCTCAACAACAGGAGAATCCATTGTTGTGGGAATCATTTCAGCTGCTAATGTTCCAAACGATACCAAATCCGGCTGCATCTCAACCCCCATTGATGATCCATTACTCTTAGAGGAAGAGAACACATCTCCTTCCTCAGATATCACTCTCATTCTAACAATAAACCTCTTTGATATAATCCTAGGACACACCAAGCTCGTTCTAAATGGTTTTGTTCTCTTGACAACATCACTGAAACATCATGGAGACAAATGTTCCATCAATGCCTAAACCTAAACCTAAACCCAATTCGATTGAAGAAACACATAGAGATGTGTTCCAATTGAATCCAAAACAGATCTAATCGAAAACTATCAATTCGAATTCAGTGAAACAGAGAGAATTACAATTGAAATGATTACCGCGAAGGAAAAAGATGGGTCGAGTCGCATCGGAGAGTAAGAGACGCCATTTTCGCCGGAGTTTTAAGAAAAAGACGACGAGCTTAGCTTCGAAGAGACTGAACCACCGCCATAGAATCACTGTGTTTTTTTGCCGGTGATCTTTTTTTTTCTGTGCTGACGTGGCAGTTGCGTAGATATTTTTCCATTTATGGATAAGCACGAGTGGAGACGGCGTCGTTTAGGAATTGAATACGATGTCGTATTACGTGGAAACACAAATCCCCATGTGTCGGTGCCTTGACTCGTTTTATTTACGTTTCTATCACACAAACATTTTTTATTGGATAATGATTTTCTTCACCAAATTTACACCTTACTTCACAATTTTCCTCTTTCTTTTTCTAACAAGAATGGAGCATTGTATCAAAATAGAAAATTGAGTCATTATATGGATTTTAATTTAATTATTAAACGAAAAACAAAATTGTAAACATTACATACTGATAAATATATTGGTATGTCTCTTATATCCTCCGAACAAATTTCATTACGGATTGTGATGATTTTATGGTCTATGTATATTGTTATTCTTATAGATTTTTATGTTGATTATAAATTTATAATCGAATCAAATTAGTCTTTATACAATGGGATTAATAGAAGCTTGTAGATTTTGTTGCATTTTCATCTTTCAAATAAAACAAAAATTATTTTTAATATTAAGGTTGTTAGTTCGATCTACTAGAAACGATTGTTTTGATTATAATTAAGAAGATGTTATACCTAAAAGAATATAATTTACATTTTATAAATAAATAAAAATTATATTATCAAGGGGGTTATACCGGATATAGAAACTTATAAGGTGAAAAATGAAAGAACCTAACCCAAAAACTTTCCATATATACTGCAGAATCAAAGACCCTAACCTAAATAAAAAAAAATAAAAACTCATTCTTGTTGCTGTCACCGAGGCCCAATAGCTCTTGTCTCATTTTCCATTGCCACGAAAGTCACCCCACAACTTTAATTATAATTTTTTTAAGGGGTTAGAGAAAATAAAAACGCATATAATCCAATTGTTACAACTTTAACAAAGATATGATGATTAGATTACCATGCCAATAAGACAAAAATATTTTGTAAAATGTTTTCCGGTAACTCTAAAGCATTCTTGGTTTTAGCAATTAACTAGGCATGGACAAAAAACCCGGATCCGATACCCGAACCGATATCCGGACCGAAAAAATCGGGTTGGAGCGGGTTAGGGTATTAGAAAATTACCTCATTGGGTAGAGTATTGGATTACTCGTGGGTATCGGGTCGGGTCGGGGATTACCCGTTACCCATTTAGGGTACCCACAAACCCGAAGAAATACACATGTTTATATATGTATATAGATAATTAGATATATAGTCTTATATAGTTATATACTTATATGTATGTCCTAGGTTTTAGGTCTTGTGACTTTTGACGTTTGAGTTTATATATGTATATAGATAATTAGATATATAGTCTTATATAGTTATATACTTATATATATGCAATACACATGTTTATATATGTATATAGATAATTAGAATCTATTCTTAATACTTAACAGTGAAATAGTCATCTTTGTTATTCTGGATTGGATTTAGTATTTAAATGTCATGTTTGATGTTCTATTCTCTTTACTTGATCATTTGAGTATGTAAAGTGATTTTAAATTTCGGGTATTATCCAAACCGACCCGAACCCGACAATACCCGAACTGGACAGGAACCGAAACCATAGGAATACCCGAATAACATCACAACATTTTACTCTATTATAAAACTTCTAAACAAATATTTGTAAAATGTTGTGATGTTATCGTAGTTGTCTAGTTGATGATTAAAAAAAAATTGAAGCACATCTACTCTATAATTATAATACGGTGGTGAAAAACCATTTTTAGAAATATTCCGATTATCCAAACATATAAAAAAAAAAAAAGGAAGCGAGATAAATACGGTGTCGTAGCAAAGAATCCTTTCCACGTATAGCTTGAGCCGAGCCGAGTCGATTTGAGCCGAGTCATATAATATCCGTTTGAGTTTTTTTTTTTTTAATTAAAAGAATTTTTCTTTTTTCTCTCACACGAGTTCCAGTGATACCGGAAGAAAACTGGGTATAGCCGGTGGACCCCCTCAAATTGCAATCGAGAGTATTGAATATACTATTATTTTTAGTTTTTAACAAATTTTCATTTACCAAAAAAACACCCAACACAAGATCTACTTAACCATGGTTACTTTCTAACCCAAGCTTTGAGTTTATTTAAACTGAGAGAAAGTGTGAAACCAAGCTTGTTCATATGGAAAACGCTCAACCCCAATCTCTCTCATCTCTCTGTATATAGAAGAATCTCCATTGTCTTTAATTTCTGTCCATTTTCTCTTTCTCTCTTCCTTCAAACTTTTCTCTTTTCTTGATGGGTTTAAGATCATCAAGTACAACTACGCATTAAACTCCAAATTTTCATAGTAATTAAAGATTGTTGATAATGAAGAGATTAAGTAGTTCAGATTCCGTGGGTGGTCTCATCTCTTTATGTCCTACAACTTCCACAGGTACTTAGTTTTAAGCTAATTTTCAGAACAAGTCCCTTAATTTTCATCTTTGTTTTTCTAATTTTGGCTTCTTATGAAAACAGATGAGCAGAGTCCAAGAAGATACGGTGGGAGAGAATTTCAGTCGATGCTTGAAGGTTACGAGGAAGAAGAAGAAGCTATAGTTGAAGAAAGAGGACACGTGGGTTTGTCGGAGAAGAAGAGAAGGTTAAGCATTAACCAAGTTAAAGCTTTGGAGAAGAATTTTGAGTTAGAGAATAAGCTTGAGCCTGAGAGGAAAGTTAAGTTAGCTCAAGAACTTGGTCTTCAACCTCGTCAAGTTGCTGTTTGGTTTCAGAACCGTCGTGCACGGTGGAAGACAAAACAGCTTGAGAAAGATTACGGTGTTCTTAAAACTCAATATGATTCTCTCCGTCATAACTTTGATTCCCTCCGCCGTGACAATGAATCTCTCCTTCAAGAGGTATAAAAACTCAAACTTTTTGTTTAAAGATTGGAACTTTTTGTTTAAAGATTGAAACTTTTTGTTTGATTCACACTAAAAATTGAAACTTTTTACAAATCTTGAGATATATGAAAAAATTGAAACTTATGTTTTTGGTTTGATGCAGATTAGTAAACTGAAAACTAAGCTTAACGGAGGAGGAGAAGAAGAAGAAGAGAACAACTTAGCGGCGACAACAACGGAGAGTGATATTTCGGTTAAGGAAGAAGAAGTTTCGTTGCCGGAGAAGATTACAGAACCACCGTCGTCTCCTCCACAGTTTCTTGAACATTCCGATGGTCTTAATTACCGGAGTTTCACCGATCTACGTGAACTTCTTCCATTGAAAGCGGCGGCTTCTTCATTCGCCGCCGCGGCTGGATCTTCAGACAGTAGCGACTCAAGCGCTCTTCTGAACGAAGAAAGCAGCTCCAACGTCACTGTGGCGGCTCCGGTGACGGTTCCCGGCAGTAATTTCTTCCAGTTTGTGAAAATGGAGCAGACGGAGGATCACGATGACTTTCTGAGTGGAGAAGAAGCTTGTGAATTCTTTTCCGATCAACAACCACCGTCTCTACACTGGTACTCCACCGTAGATCACTGGACTTGAAGCTGTAAACACCACCGGAAGAGATTTTGGATTATTTGCTCTCTTCTTCTCTGCTTCTCTGTGGAATCGATATGGAGAAGATGGAAAAACAGAGGAGGGTAAAATGGGAATAATGGTTAAAATTGAAGGGTGAAAGGGAAAAATTAAGGAAAGGTTAAATCTGGGCGGGAATAATGATTTTAGGGTGAATTTGTAATTATGCTTTTCTTTGGTGTTTTCGTGCACTTCTTGTAATTAAGATCAAAGAGAAATTGAGAAGGGAAAAAAATTCAGCATGGACTCTTTAAATTACAATAGTCGACCCTTAAAAACTAAATTATACCACTTTTAACCCTTAAATAAATTTTTGAATCATAAAATTAGATGTGTGACTGTATGTTGACAAAAAAAAAGAAGTGTATGTAGGTCTAGTGTATTAGGGGATTTTTCCAAAGAGAATGCACCTAAAACAGTTAAAAGTCTCAGGTTTAAGTCTAATTTTTGGGTAAAATAGATCAAACTTTAGACCCAAAATTTTTTAGTTGAAAGAAATAGATCGGTTAAATATGCTTTGAATTATGATGTGTTTTGCGATTCAAAATACAACTTTAGTATAAATCAATTTATTCTTTTTTATTACTGGAAAAACAAAATTATACATGCCATCAACCATTTATTTAGTTCAAACCTATATTTTTATTCCATTCGGTTTATTTAAACTTGAAAATTCTAATTGAACATAAAAAGTTTGTTTTCATATACATCTAATTTATAATTAGTAACCTATAATTTTATTAGTTGTATAAGGTGGTAAGAAAATATTTAGAAGTAATGATAACAATAAAAGGTGGGGATATAAGTAGAAACTGTAAAAAATGATGGTAAAAAATGGTTGATTTTACGATAATAGATGGCAGTTATTTTTTTTTTTGGTCATCTAGAATTTTATTATTATTGATCTTGTAATGAAACCAAGGTGGAATACAAAGTCTAAAAGAGGGAAACTAAAGCCGGCGGACAACATGAAAGTCTCTGGAGACTAAACCGGCGGAAGACGAGATTTTCCCGGAAGCTAGGCCCTAACGAAAAGAAATTAGTAAAATGAATACTGTTTACTAATTAGTAAATAGATGGTGGTAAGATAACTAGTAAACAGTATTCATAACTAAAATATATTAAAATCAATCTAGAAAGTACAAAAAAAATTGAACACTTAAATTTTAATAAGACTTTTAAAATCAAAATAAAATAAACATACTTTACTATTTTCTTACCACCTCAAAATAATGGCGGTAAAAAGTAGATAATACAAGACTTTGTACCACCTTTTTAAGATTTATACGACCTCGATTTGTAATACTATAGCATTGAATAATAATTAATAACTAGATTTTAATCCGAACGATTTTTTAAAAAGTTAGTGATTTTTAAAATTTAGTGGTTATATATATTATATAAAAATATTTACAAATTGTATCATTTTATAAGATATTTATATTTTATAGTTTACAATTGTTATTAAGTAACAGTATAACACAAGATAATTTTTGTTTTATACAATTTACTTTAATAAGGATCATTCGATATGTCTAATATTGGTGGTATTAAAAAATCAATAAAATGAAGATTTAACCGTATTGAAGCAGCGGGTTAATTATGTTTTAAACTTTTTTGATTCAAACTCGTCCCGTCATATAATCCCGTCTTGCAATATAACTTCGTCCTGCAATATAACCCCATCATGCAATATAACCGTCCAATGTTATTTTAATTCTTTATATATGTTCAATTTTCTTATATTATAAACTTTTTATTGATTTTAAATATATAAATCATTATATATAAAACTTCTTAAAAACTCGTCCCGTTATATAAATTTGTCTACCAATATAACCCGTCTCGTGTTATTGTAACTCTTTATATATGTTCAAATGTTCATAATATTATAAACTTTTATTGATTTTAAATATATGAATTATATGATTTATATCTTTTTAAAAGTTTAAAATTTAACATTTCCGATAAAATTAAGCAGCTAAACAAAAAACCCGAATGAAACGGTATATAATTTTAAATTTGGATGCTTATTAAGTTGAGCTTCTTGTTCATTCGGATTTGGATTCATTTTGATCTTATTTATATTATGATTCTAAATCAATATCTAACCATTTTAGCCGATATGGGACGTTACACACACATTTTCATCAATTAGATAATTTATATCCGTTTTCAAAATTTCGAATCCCAATATATGCAGAAAAAATTGATTTTTTTTTAACTTTATGTATTATATTACGATTTAAAACAGTTAAAAAATGCTCAAACAAAGATGATAGGAGAATTGTATATTTAAATCTTAACCAAGTTTTCTAAATATCTATATTTTTAAATATAGAATATCCGGTTCATAATTTCGGATATGTTTTGACCCGATCTAATAAAAATATGAACTATCCGGTGTAAGATTTATGAAGGAAATTTTTTATAGGGTCGGATACCAAATTTGTAGGATAACAATTTAACCCACCCGTTAAAAATGTATTTCAAAAATACTAGTAAAGATTCGATACCACTATCAGACATTTACTAATAGCATTAATTGATAATCTTTTTGGGTATACTTTTTAACATCTTGTAGTGTTACTGTTAAGTTTTTTTTTTTCATTTAACAGTATGCATTATACAGATTTAATTTATGTCGTAACACAATGACATCATTAGTAAAAAGTAAAAAACTAAAAACTACTGGCTAGGTTGTCATGTCATGGTCTTTTAGTGTCGAGTTTAAATTTCTCAAAACTGTGTAACGTTAGAATTTAAACAATATCATTAGGTTTGCTGTTCAGATTTGATTTGATTCGAATTCGAGTTGTCTCGGTTTGTGTAACCAACAGTGTATTGTTAAAAGAAAACTAATCATGTTTAAAGGTAAACCGGCAAAGCTGTGGACCACGTCTAATAAGATCATTATAATAATAATACGAGAATCTTCTAATTAATTAGAATAATTAAGCATCTTTGATTCTTTATATCTTTTTACTGTTAGAACAACTAAAACATGTCGATGATCAGATCTTACTACACTGTGTTAGATTTAACAGTACGATGTATATGATTTTCTGTGTTTTATAGTCACTTTTCTCTATGTTTTTTTTTTTTCTTTTTTCGCTATTTTAATCACAAAGTCATATGTGACTTTGCACAAAAAAAAAAAAAAAGAGTTTACCAATTTACCATTTACCATGGATGGCAAGTTTCTTGTGATTGGAGCTAAAGACAAATTTATGTTGTAAATATTGTTTGCTCAACGCGTACGTACAATCCCAATATAGTAGAGTCGACGATTAGGGAATAGAGTCTAGGGGATATACTAGTACATACTACATCGAGGAACATAGACAATCAATTTAGACTAGAAATCATTATGGACCAACTATCTTAAAATTTTGAATATCAAATTGATGAAATTCCGACACAAAGTTACATCAAATTAGTACTTATAATCACTCACTAAAAATGAAAAAATCTCGATTTCGATATTAACTATTTTCTGAACGAATACCTAATTAAACCTCGATCTCATTGTAGAAACCTTTTTTAAATGATCTTTTCTATCTTTTTTTTTCTAAGAGCATTTCCAATTTCCAACCTATATCTCTATATATTTTTCCAAAATAGAGTAATTTTATTTTGGAGTTTGGTTTTTACTCCAAAATAAAGTTTGGAGATCGATGAATATTGAAGTAGGTTGGAGATGGTCTAGGAGAAATTTGCATGTGCTCTAACCAAACCAACAACAAAACTAAATACCTAATTAATCTAAACTAATATTCAGTTTGGTTTTATGTTTATTCAATTATATTTTTGTACGTAGGTTTATAGATTTATGGATAGCCGAGATTTTTAAAAAATTGATATCCAAAAAATAGTTTCGTTCGATTTCTTTATTTAAGATATTGAGATATTTATTTTGAATCAGATATTTAGCTTTTTAACTATTTTTAAATAGACTGCTAAGATATTTTTTCAATATAATAACTAAGCATTCTGATATTTTGAGTTAGGTATTTCACTATTCATATATTAAAGACCATGTGATTTGGATATTTTACACATTCCATAACATTTAACAAAGAAAATACCTAATTCAAGCTCGAATCTACATGTCATGAATGTAAGTAGCATGGGATGAAAATAAAGATCTAATGGATCCAAATTTCTCAACGCATAAACGTATAACAAGTTTTAGTGCCTAATCCTAACTTGGAACGATGTTCGTATCATCGTATGCATGTCTCATAATACAAATGATTTACATTGTCTATGGCAAACACATCCAAATAGAATGACTATATACAATGTTGATATAGCCTATAGATTTTGCGGCCAAAAAGTGAAATTTGTTAAAGTAGAGGTTGAATTTAGGGGTTTTAGAAAACATTGAAGGATAAAAGTAATAGGACAAAAGGAGGAAGAAGAGAAAGAGAACACGTGATTGGACATCAAATACATCTTTTCTTTCCTAATCCCACGACCACGACATATCTCTATTTTTTCTTCGTTTATAGAAAGCATCTAAAGTAATTTTTCCATTTTTAGATAGATATGGAGAAGTCAAAAATTAAATAATGAAGGACCAACAACTATGTAATATATGTGACTCGATCTAATCTTAATTTTAGTTTGAATATCTTACCACTTAAACCACTGAAAGCAATCAAGCTTGACGGGAAGGTCAAATAACCATTAATAATTTTGTTGAATTGAAATATACAATATGTTTAGTCATTTCAATATTATTAATGAAATATACAGTACTAAAAAATTGTTGTCATTCCATCGCAATTACAGTCCCACTTAACGTACATAAGGTACTAGAGTTAATCCATCTTAATTTTCATATGTTTTTGCATGATACAAGATTAATTTTTTTTTTTTTTTTGGATCCAAAACCAACTCTCAAGAAAATTAAAAAAAAAAAAAAATGAAAACAAAATGCACAATTTATAATGGTTCATAAACCAATGAGAAACTTCATATTGAGAAGTAAAGCTGCTCCGGAACTTAACATCAATTCTAAGAAGAGATATAAACCAGAAAACTATAATTCTAAGAAGATTATGTAGATGATAACATATTGTTAATAGAATCAAAATTTAGACAAAACTCCAAAATATGTAAAAACTCTAAATTATATAAATGATTAAATATGGTAAAAGAAAATAACAAGAACTCCAAGAAATAAATAAGTGTTTCCTTTTTTTTAATGGGTGGATAAAATCAGAGAATAAAATATAGTAATTGGTGGATGT